AACAATGGATTAACAATATATCCCCAGGAGAAAACTCCTTTATAGGAGACAGCATAAGTTAGTTGTTAAATAATTTCTACATACTTTGACATGGTAATTAAATGAAATAAAACTCATACTTGGACCTTATAAAATACTCTTATAAAAGTCTGTAACATACCTTTATAAAAGTCATATTTATACCATAGCCTTATAATATTGTTCCATTGTGGTTAGAATACTTTGGTCCAGCATGTTTAGAAATAATATATTGGTAAGAAATGAATTATTCTTTAAAATTTTTTAAAAAGGTAGAGTTCAAGTGCTTAATAGAAACATAATACTGAAAAACACAGAATTTGGCTTTTTAGTTACAGGAGTTCTGCCTACATTTAATAAAAAACCTACTGGTGTTTGATAAAGGAATAATATCTCGATAATACAATCAGGAAATTTTTTCAATTAGAATTCTTTCCGCGAAATGATAATGAAGTCAAAGAATGAAGAAGTATTTTGAAGAATGAAGAAGCATTTGCAAACAGTATTTTAATGAAAACACACTTACATGATAAAAAGGGTTGATATGTAGTAAAATTACCTATGAAGAATGATGCCACTTCTATGCAGGGTTCATCTAAAGAAACTACTATCAAGAGATTGAACACATTTTGGAAGCGTCTTGATGCTAATAAGACTAATTTGTATAAGGAACTTATGAACAAATATTTAAGCTTAAATCATGACCATGGATAACTGCAATACTTATTACTACATTTCTCATCACACAGTATATTACCCACAGAAAATTTCAATTCAATTAAGATGCATTGTGTAAATTATCCAGTGGGTATTCCCTAAATTCAATTATATTAAATAGAGCCGCAATCCAAGAGGATTTTTTTTCTTTTTTCCAGATTTAGAAAACATTGCTTTGCCTTCCACGGCAATATTAAACAGATGTACTGACAAATAATCATAAATCCATTGCAGAGAGGTTTCCAACGAATTGTTTGGAAGTCACGCCAACTACAGTTTTATAACTTATAGGACTATAGGTTATGAACTTTAAAACTTAGGTTACAAAAGGCAACATATGGTATATTAGCATGCTATTCTTAGCTATGAGAAACTTGAAGGCACTGGCAGCAGACGAACACAGCCATATTCCCAAGGCTGCTGCTGTCAAATCTATAGGTTAATATATAGATTTATGGGTAATATATGGATGATATACTGACAGGAGGGAATACTTTAGAAGAATCAAAGAAGCTTCGGTCTGAATTAATACAAATGCTACATTGTGGAGATTGTAACATTTTTTTTGCAGTATTTAACGAAATAACTGATAAGCTTCTTAATAAAATATAGATTTCATTGGAGGCAGATAATTTAAAATACAATTCTATTTGTTACAGCATCACACACCAGCTCACTACTTCATTTTCTTTCTTGATAGATTTTTACACATCTACAAAACAGTAATCTTTCAGAATCACCTTTCGCAAATGTTTTCTGACATTGCTCAGCAGCGGTTACACGATACAAAATATGGCATTGCCAATCCAATATCAAGGACAATATATATATTTTTTAAATAAGAAAATATTGCAAGTTATGGAGCTACATAAATGGGTGTCCAATCATCCTAAGCTGCTTCATGTACAAAGAAATATTCCTTTGAATCTCAAGAAAGTGTAATGAAAATGCTGGGTATGCTCCGGAAATTAAAGGATGATCACTTCACTTTCAAAACAGCTGTGAACAATGAAGATACTAAACGTCAGATGTTGTCTGAAACAGCTTTTTCAAACACTTTTTTTTTTTTTTTTATCCTTCGGATCTTATCGATCCCATAGCAATGGCGGCAAAGATATTCATGCTGAGACTATGGTCACTCAGACCGGACTAGAACATGGAATTACCTCCTAAGGAGTTGCATGAATGGAAAAAATTCCTTTTCCAGTTTCAATTCATCAATCAACTGAATATTCTTAGATATATTTTAACTGGACGTTCCCAGATATATTTCATAATATAAATTCAGATAACATAAATATAGATAAGTAATTCCAGATAACATTCTGTAAGAACTGAGATTCATGGGTTCTTGGTTTCATTCAACGAATGTAAATAGCTGCACCATAGGCCTTTTTCAAAGGCAAAAAAAGGGCCTATGGTGCAGCTATTTACATTTGTTGTATTACCAATGATGGAATGAATTATTCCAGTCCAAAGTAAAGAGTTTCTCCAACAAAGCCTATTTTAATTCCACACCTTGAACTGTATGGAGCACTGTTTCAATGAAAACTTGTATCAAAGATATTAACAGTTCTACAACTAAGTATAGTTTATCTGTGGTGTGATTCAACTTTTGTTTTAGCATGGAAAAACACTCCTGCGTACAAGCTCAAAACTTTCTGTAAGCAATCAAATTCCCTAAGTACAAACTTTGAATAACCAATTCATGTTGCCTCAAAGGAAAACACAGCAGACATAATATCTCAAAAAGCAGATGCTTGTAAACTTTTGGCTAATTCCTTTTGGAGGGCAGGTACTCAGTTCCTCAGTCAAGTTCCTCCTTCATTGCCAGACTGCAATCCCTATTCTTCAGATGAGGAGTATGAGAAAGAACTAAAACAATTATTGAATACAGTTCTGACTTATTCACTTTACAGACGCTTTTCTGAACACTTTACAGACGCTTTTCTGAAACTTTCTAATAACTTTCTTAAACTAATCAGAATTCTCATTTTTATTTTCAGGTTTATCTTAAATTAAAAGTCACAGGAAAAGAAGCAGGGGTATTTAACTCTAGATGATGTGCAAAAGGCTGAGGACTTTAACTTCATGTCCAAGTAACTGCCTTTAATTCTGAAATTACAGCTCTTCGATGAGGTAAACCTATTCTGGCATAAAGTAAGTTAAAAGGCCTTGACCCTTTTCTTGATAAGAATTCTATTTTAAGAGTTGGAGGAAGATTAAAAAACTCAAACTTATCCTTTTATTGTAAATAACAGTAAGTTTTTAATCCTAGTCATAGAGTCACTGTATTGATTTTTGAATATTTTCATCAGAAGTATCTACATATTGGGGCACAAGGTTTACTTCACCAGGTACATTTGAAATATTGTTCCATTCATGGCAAGAGCTTAGCTTGTAAGATAATTCAAGCTTGTGTTATTTGCTTTAAAAACAAGCCAACTGCAGCAGTTCAGGTAATGGGTAATCTTCCCACTGAGAATGAAACTCCAACTTCACCCTTTCTTAATTCTTAATTTCTTTTGCAGACCCTTTCATGTCCAATTCAAGGGTCAATGCAAAAGCATTTATCCTAAAATTTATGTTGCTGTATTTATCCACAAAGGCAATACATTTGGAAATTGTAACAGACTTGACATCTGAAGCCTTTTTATTGCAGCTCTTAGAAAATTTTGAGCGAGCAGAATAGAAATTTCTTCTATCATTACAAATACTACTACAAATTTTAAGGAAGACTGTACTAAGTTAAAGTGTTTGCAAAAATTAATTAGAAAACCAGATGATGCATTATCCAGCTATTTAACCTCAAAGTTAATCTGGAAGTTAATTCTTCCTAGATCACCTAATTTTGGTGGATTGTGGGAAGTGAGGGGTTAAATCCTTTAAGTACCATGTTAAAAGAACTAAAGTCACTAAGAAAGAATTTCTCACAACCATTACTCAGATTGAAGGAATTTTAAATTATCGCCCTTTAACTCCCATGTCTAATGATACTAATGAATTTGAAGTTTTAATGCCAGAGCATTTTTTAGTTGGCCATTCAATCACTTCTACACAAGAACATGAACTTATTGAAATTACTTATAGGTTATCACGGTGGCAACACACAACACAGTTTGTTCAAATAATGTGGATTGGCAAAGAGATTATCTCAATCACCTACAACAGTGCAATAAATGGCAGTTTCAGAAATCCAATTTACAAATAGGTGAAATGGTTCTATTTAAGGATGGGAATCTGCCTCCTTGTCAATAGGCCCTAGGTAGAATTTTTTTGAGATGGTAAGGTATGCTTAGCTAAAATTAAAGCTGCTTCAGAAATATTTACTAGATCTATTTCAAATATCTGTTTATTGCCAATTTAAGATTCAAATTTCTAAAAAATTTATGCTTATTTTTTCCATAATTACTGTTTTCAAGTTTTTTAATGTTTATGTGATTATCAGTTTTGAAATGTTATAAATTGTAACTAATTAATTAATTGAAATGTTTTGTATCAGATTTTTGTATCAATGGCATGGCTAGAATATTTTGTCTATTTGTACTGGTGTGACAATTGCAGTGCAATGCAGTTTCAGTGTCAAGAAACTAGCACTAACAAGTAAGCGAAAAGCACGCACTCGGACCACAAAAGAGTCACTTTTCCTCTGCCCAGTCAAAGTGGCAGCAAATTGTTATAATTAAACCGTAATCCTTACTCACTCTTTTGCCTGTTTAAGCAGCATTATTATGTGTTAAAGAGAATAAATACTGTTAAGTTTTTCAACTTTTATGAAATCATATACAGCTTACAACCACAGGCTATCAAAGTATCTTATAACAGTTTATTTATAGTGCCTCAGAAAAGTCACACTTGAAATAATAAAATTTTTTAAATATGAAATGTGATATTGAAAGTGCTTTGACTGCTTAAAAATGAAGCCATTAATTACAACTAAAATTTTGTTCTGATTTATTATAAGTGAAACTTTTTATCACCTCTTCTCTCTATATACTAACAAAATCCTTAAGAAGGTCCATACATAATTTGCAAATTTATGATACAGAAGCTCAGTAAAAAAAAAAAAAAAAATTATTCATAGGAAGAAGTTGAAACATTTCATATAATGAATTTCTTCAGCTTATAAAAGAAGACTTCAATGACAAAACTGACCAGTTACTTTCCTTTTTGTCTTTTAAATATTCACTAGATTTCATTGCTTCACTGCATTTCAAAAACTTTAACCAAAATAAATCTAAAGTAAAGAGAAAGTAATAACATACTCTTTTGAACTTATATGGTGCAATAAAACATCCTTCTAGCATTTCAATAACTTGTTCACATTCTACAGATATTACATTGCCATTGTCAATTCTGGAAAAAAATTGATACTCAATACATTAAAAAAGCTCAAAGCATTATATGCTACAAATAAACTATTATTTAATAAAAGGATCTGCAAGCAGATTAACTTTGTATCTGCATCACAAACTAAATACTAAATTATGATTAAAAGGGGTTATGAATTTTATAGCTCAGATTTTTTTTAAACATAACGAAAACAAAAATAGAACATATAATTTGCACTAAAATAAAATAGTACATCATACTGACTATATAAGAAAAATAGCATTTTTTACCACAAGAAAAATACTTCAGACAGTAAAAAGTACAATGAAATTGATATAAAATGAGTTTAAAGCATTTTATAAGAAAATATTTTTTTTTAAATTCTTTGTTTCTAAAATTAAATGGTAGAAAATTAGATGATTATATAAGAAATTACTAGATGACTTTCATGTGCTAAATTTTCTTATACGTCAGTCCACTAAGATTTGAATATTTCTTCAACAATTTTTATATGAAGCAACACAAAACAAAATTCCATGAACAGATTTCAAAATATGTTAAAATTAAAATCAAATAGTAAGAGTCAGAGCATATTTTTAATTACAAAATTAAGCAAAAGCTAATTCAGCTTTCAACAGAATCAAAAAATCACAATTCGGCATTTAAAAAGAAAACATTTTACAAGCTGACACAGTAATTTTTTATTCCTCCTTTTTAATAAGAACAGATAAATTTGCCACTAATAAGAAGGAAAGCAGGATGCATGCTGGTATTTGAACATTTAGCATACATTATGTCTCCGAAAAAATATATGCTTTTAATATACACTGTATCCACAAAAACTTAAACTTTTAGTATACATCGTGTTTGTCTCCTCAACCAGCTTTTAATTTTGAAATTTTTGGCTGCAGGTATTCACTTCAAACTATAGAAATGTTTCAAATGATGGAAATATGCATGTTTAGATTTAAATTAAAATATATATATGTATAATTAAAACACAATAACACGCCGAATAAATACTAATTTGGAAGTCAAACAACAAAAATCAGCATTATATTTTCAAAATTTTCGCAGGACTAGTATCGATGGTTTTACCGAACCACCATCCTCAGCTGCAAAACTGCATTTTGACTTCCGAATTAGTATACATATGTATGTTATCAAAATTTAAGACATCAAACTTTTTATACATTCTCCTGGCCATGATACATATATTAAGGAAAATTTTACACTCATTATAAAAAATAAAATATGACTCTTATACAACAAAAACCAACTAAGCTATTTCCTTTTTAAACTGGAAATATATTCAAGAGCAAAATGTATGAATTTGCACATTACTGAAAATAAAATATTAGTTTAGAAAATGATTTCTGGTGCTAATGGATTAAACAGACAGTTCTATGCAGATAGTCATCAAAAGTATTGATCTTTTTTTTTTTTTTTTTTTTTTAAGACATTGTTCATAAAATCTTATAGAAGACATGTTCCAGAAAACACTGGCAAGTTCAGTATTTCAAGGATTTAATTGCCTGGATTTTCGATTCCATAGTCCAGGTAATTCGACATTTTTTCTTTTACGAAATTTGATGTTTTTCGATTATTTTATAAATTATTCACTTTTACTACACCACACTTAATGTTACATCAGAAGTTTTTTCTAAATATTTTTATTATTATTAATCAGTTTAAAATTTGTAGTTGATTTTATTTCACTACTTAGCACATATTAGGCTTAAAAATGATCATTTGTTACTTGGTACGTCGAATATATATTTCCTCATTTTAAAACTTCTGTCCCTCTAATGAGCTTTTAAGAACCAACTATTCTTTTTATTTGTTCAAAGGGGCAATTTGCCCAGAAGGACTATTAATTTCGTTTTGGCATGTTGCATTGATTCACTTTTTGCATTGTTTCACATTTCAACTTGTTACCACCAAATATTATCACCCTGTATTACATTTAAAGAAATTAAATAATGAAAAATCTGCATAAATGTACGTATGTTTCTCGCATTGTGATAAAACAATAGTACCTAGAGCCTTCAAATTTTGAATAACATAATGTTTCACTGAATATGGGCATCTGGTAAACCTAATTTGGAATTTGTTTTATTATCGATTTCATATTTTGTAAAACTGTAACAAATTTTTGATTAATGAACTCAAGGATTTCAAAGCGAGCAATGGCAACGTTGTACAGAAAAAATATTTTTTACCTCCAATGTGCGAGACCATTGCATCTGAAATTCTAAAGATATGCTTATTTTAAAAATTTTTTGCGATATTGCTCGAAACTCGATTTTATGGTTTAAGTGCTAAGAACATGATATTTAATAAATAAAGGTAACACACAAATCATTTAAAAAAATGTTCCTTTGGATGTAATTTAAAATCTGAAAACTTTCAGATTTTTTTTAATGTCTTTTAGATCAAATCATAATTTATTATTGTTTCATATGCTGGATTACTTCTGCTTACATGTTTTGTTTTTTAGACTCAGTTGACTTAAATAGAAAATAATTTTTATTAGATTTTAAAGCTTTTTTGCTCATTTATAATTTTGATACTATAATTTTTCAAAATAAAATTTTATTCTGGTCTGTATGATTTCAAATTTGATGTTACTATATTTGTTTTGCTTTTCTTTTTTTCCTGACTTTGTTTGCCCCCCCCCCAGCCAATTTTTTTAAAACTTCTTTTAAGCTTGTTTATGATTGTTCTGCCATAATTTTGCAATTTTTTTGCACTGCTTACTATGGCCTGTTGGAGTTGAACTGATAAAGACACAGATTGCTTTGTTTAATTTCTGATAGTATTTTGCTATGGCCTGTAGGGGGTTAGAGAAATAAAGACATACAGTTTCTGAGATTATTTTAAGAATTAAACTTTGTCTATTTGTTAGTTCAGAAACAGGTTGATGTATTTACTTCTTTTGTTGTACCAATGTCCTGATTTGATGATGTGGTGGAAGATGTAAATTTCTTTTTTCCTTTTTATTTTTGATTTCAGCATCTTTTGTGCCTAGCATGCAGTTACCACTGTGTTTCTTCTTCTTCTTCTTCTTCTTTTTTTTTTTTTTTTTTTTTTTTTTTATGGTTTGTTCCAAATTGAACATGGGATGGATTTTAAACATACTTTTATAACTTTAATATAATGGATGGATTTTAAACTTTAATATAATGTTACATTTAGAAACTTGAATTTGATGGGAAGAAGAGCCAATCATATGACGCAAAAAATACTTCCACTCATTACAAATATTCTGCTTTTGTTTATACTTCCTTTTAAAGTTTAATATGGCAATCTAAATATTACCATCAAAACATAAAAAAGCCCTAAATTTAGAAAATATATATATCAACATTTTACACTTACTTTGAAATCAAAGGACCCTCCCACCTTTTAATTGTTAGACAATCTCGTAAAGGAAACTAAAAATTAAAAAAAGCTTAAATATATAAAGATGTTAGTCACAAAAAATTGTTAAATAACTTTTATTGCACATACCATGGAGGTAGGAAGTAAGATGAAGTAGCCCTAAACAAGTTTCTCCCGTACCCTGCTCTGAAGCACCGGCGATCCCTAAATGGTGACCAAAACATTGGGTATTTTACCATTGAGTTCAATGGGATTTGTGCGTTCAGATGTAATATTTTGTAATTACGTCGTAATATACATATAAATGTATATATTTTCTTTTTCTACAACACTTCAGACTCCTAAGTATATGAAAACCATATTTTTAAACAACTTTTCATTCTGAAGGAATTAATGCTATATTTTCACAGGACATTTTCGCAATGGTTTAATTTGAATGATATTTTTCAAAGTTTCGTTAATACATAGAAAAAAAATTAAGGTAATTCGATTTTATTCAGTTAAGGTACAAAAATTAAGATCAAAGTTTATTGTATTATTATATTAAAATTATGCATTATTTCTTTCTATTTATAGAGCTTCTTCCTAACTTTCTTAAATATGACATGATTTTTTGCTTCTGAGCATCTTTTATATCAAAAA